GGCTTTTTAGCTTTTCTATTAAAAAGAAATTGAGAGTCAGATAACTATAAACTTCTCTTTATTGCCTGAGAGCTAACAAAGTCACACTAATGCAATTTTCCTAAAATTCTGTCGGCTTTATTCACTAAAGGTGAAATGAGTTAATGGTTATTCTAGTAGGCCCATAAAGCATTGTTCTCCCACAAAGAAAAAAGAAAGAAACCATCAAATTATAATTCTAAAGGCTGATTACCAGCCACAGGTAAACTAACTTAAGCTGCATTTACATATAACTGGAAGTGGAAGTGGATCATCTTTGGTAATCCCTATCTAGGTGAGAATAGAAAAGCTACTAAAATTTCAAGATAGAATCATCTCCTATGTAATCTGAACACCTTGTCTCTAAGCAACAACAAATGATGTCTAATGGGAAGGCACTCGTCAAGGGATTTAGCTGTCTTCAGTTTACTGAGAGCTCTGACTGGGAAAGATCTACGGCTTGGGTTAGAAAACTGGCTCATTGGCTGGCTACCTGTTTTGTGAATAGTTTTACAGGAACACAGCCACAATCACACCCATTTGTTTATGTACTGTCCATGGCTCCTTTTACACTATGATGGCAGCACTGAATTTTCTAACAAAGATGGGACCTTAAGCTTAAAATATTTACTACCTGACCTTTTAAGAGAAAGTTTGCTGGCCCCTGGTCTATGGCATCATTTAACAAACATTAGAAAAAGCATACAAATCATTTTTGGGTTTTGTTAAAATGCAGATCTCATCACAAGGTCTGAGGTTAAGACCTGAGATTCTGTTTCTAAGAAGCTCCAGGTGATGCCTGTGCGACTGGCTGGCACAGCTCATTTTGAGTAGCAACAGCGTAAGGCATACATTAGTCTATTCTGTCAGAGCATTGGTTTTTAACCAATATGCTAATAGTGTTGCTGTCAAGGAATCCTGAATTGGGAGTGGTTATTAGCCTTGAATGCACATTAGAATAAATTAGGAAGCTATGAAATTATCAACACTCCAGTTCAGAACTTCTAGTTCTGGCCATTAATAATGGGTATCAGATCTCCCCTCCTGCTATAAAAGCCTATAAATCGAATACAAAACAATATAGCTGCACAGAATTTATGAAGCAACTTTTCAGGTATAGCGAACAACCAGGGCTGTGATTCTTACAAAAAGGCAAACAACCCAGACCCCAGAAAGGCCATATTTTTAAGATACTTATTTTAGACCAGTCCAAAAATGCCTAAACAGAAATCAGGACATGATCAAGTTGAACCACCAATAAGTTAACTGCTTGCCAGGACAAAACACAACACTCTTTTAAAGAATACTATAAAATCTGGAGTCTTAAGAACTTAGCATCTACACTGTTCACCACACAATAAAACTTTACTACACATAAGGAGCAGGAAAATGTGACCCATAACTAGGAGAATAGAAGAACAGAAATGGACATATATATATGTACCGGATGGCAGAATTATCAAACAGGGATGAAGTATCTACATAAATATGTTCAAGGACTTAAAGGAAAAGTTAAACACAGTAAGTGAACAGAGAAATGGAAAAACAGTGCACTTCTGGTAGTGAAAAAAACACAATATTTGAAATGAAAAATCTCTGGCTAGGCTTAATCACCAGTTCAACAATCAAGTAGAGGCCAGACAAAAGAAGATATCCAAACTGGAGTACAGCAAGATAAAAAAGACTGATCTTAAAAGTGAACAGAACCTCAGAGCCTGTGAGAAAAGGTAAAGCAGTCTAACTTGCATGTATTGGAATTTCAGAAGTATGAGCCACAACTTGTGGCTGAAATATTCAATTTGATGACAGATGTCAACCCACAGATAAAAGAAGCTCAATGAACTCAAAGCAGGATAAACACAAAGACAACCAAAGATCTAGAAAATCCAAAGATTAAAAAATAAATTTTAAAAGCAGCCAGAAGAGAGAGAGAGGATTAATGATAAGAATACCTACTAACTTCTAAAAAACACACCCAAGAAGACAGGAGAACAACTTATTTAAAGTTCGGAATGAAAAATTCCATACCCAGCGAAGACTTCAAAATGAAGGTGAGGGGCATCTGGTTCCAGACAAGAGAAATATTCTACTCTATACTTTCTGCTAATTACAACTAATGACTTTTGACAAAAAGGAACTAATAGAACATCCTCAAAGTTGTTTAACAGAAGGCAGACTGGATAGGGACATCAGGACTTGAGGAAATGAACTAATCACGAGTCTTCCCTAATCCCCCTGTGCATCCAAACCTGGGCCATAAAGCAGCCTGCAGTCTGAAAACAACATGCATAGACAGAAAGAAAAAAAAGCCTGCTCTCTCCAAACAGTGGACCAGGGAGAGGCCAGGTCTACAGTACAGAACACTCTTGACTACACCTGCTCTACTCTAGGTGAACACCATGAAAGAAACTGCACCCCTCCCACTTCTGACCAGGTGCTGTGGAAACTGGGGTGAGTCCTATCAAGTACACCACCCTGTGCTAATAATCAGGATGTGCACTTACTCCTCCCCACCAAGCACTAAGGAGACTAGAGTGGAACCCTGTCAACCAGACCATCCCCACACTAACAAGGTGGTACCCTGCCCCAGGGTGTTATAGAAATTATGAGACAGCCCTGTCAACCATTCCAAAACTGTACTACTAAGGTGGCACACTTCCCTCCTTACCACGTACTATGGAGACTGAAGGGCAGCACCCTGTAGACTACCCTTCCTGCATTAACACAAGCAGAAACAGTGCCTCCATCCCTCACCCCAGACTCTGTACTGTGCAGCAGAGCCCTACACCAGCAGTGCCCACTCTGCATTAAGCACACATCAGCAAAGAGAAAGTAAACCTCTGCTTCCCACTGGCCTCAAATACTGCGGGGAGGAGCCCTACTGACCATCACTACCATGCATTAAGGACTTCAAAGAGGTGGCATTCCACATGCTCCTAATTAGAAAACCTTGCTGTCAGTAATTAATGGAGAACTACTAGATAGAAGAACAACAAGGTTAGGTCACACAAACCAGTGGGATTTAACCATTATTTATAGAGCACTCCACCCAAAAACAGGAGAATACATGTTCTTTTCAATTGCAATTGGAATATTCACCAAGATAGACCTTATCCTGGGTTATGAAATAAACCTTAACAGATTAAAAACAAAGTTATACGAAGTATGTTCTCAGACAATAATATAAATTAGAAATCAGTAACAGAAAAACCTTTAAACACTTGGAAATTAGGCAGCACACTTCTAATAACCAAAGCATCGAAAGAAGTCTCATAGGAGAGTACAAAATTAAAATACAATATATAATGATTTATGGGATGCAGTTAAAATGGAATTTAGTAGGCCCTTTATAGTGTTAAATAATTATATTAGAAAAAAAAAGTTTCACATCAGTAGTCTAAACTTTCCACCTGAAATAGAAAAAGGAAAATAAACAAGCTAAAAGAAAGAAAAGGAAAATCTCCAAATATATGAAAAAAATTTAAAAACTCTTCTGACTGGGTCAAAGAACCCAAGAGGAACTTAAAACTAAATGAAAATGAAAACATAATATATCAAAATATATGGGACATGGCTAACACAGTGTTAGAAGGGGAATCTGTAATACTAAGTACTTATATTAGAAGAGTCTCAGTTCAGTAACTGAGGCTTGTTTCCCCCTCAAGCAATTAGAAAGAGAAAATAAGTACATAGCAGAATGAAGGAAATAAAAACAAGAGCAGAAATCAATGAAACTGACAAAAGAAAAATAGTAAAAAAAAAAAAAATCAAAAGCTGGTTCTATGAAAAGACCAATAAAATTGATAAACCTGGTCAAAAAAGAGAGAAAACATAATAAAGTACTGATATTTGTAAACATATTACTATAAGCTTCAATCTCATTTAGAGGATTTATATAAAGGAATATTATGAACAGTTCTACACATAACAATACAATGACTTAGACAAAAATCGACCAATTCTTAGAAAGACACAAATTATCAAAACTACCTCAAGATGAAATAGATTAGGGGTTGGTAAACTGTGGTCTGCAGGCCAATTTTGTGACACTTGAAAATTACTTGGAATTCAAATTTTTATACCATAAATAGTTTTGTTCAAAGCATAAATACAGGACAGAAATAGACTCATGGACAGAGAATACAGACTTGTGGTTACGGGAGGGGGGTAGAGGGTGGGAAGGGATAGACTGGGATTTCAAAATTGTAGAATAGATAAACAAGATTACACTGTATAGCACAGGGAAATATACACAAAATGTTATGATAAATCACAGAGAAAAAATAGTGACAATGAGTGTGTATATGT